ATAATACTCTCTTTAGCAACTTTGCTGCGAGAGTATAAATATATAAATACGTTTATAAATAATAAACAAATCCACTTTACCTCAGGTTATCGGCGGTAATTTTCCAAATATATGTACATAGATAAGAATCACTAAAATTCTAATAATATATTTGGCGAGTGCGTCTGAAGAACTTTTCACGGCTTCACCGATCCCTATTTAGCAATCGATTGCGACCCCAAGTAACCTTAACCTTAAAAATCAAACTTTATGCGTACGAAAAAAAGTAATAATGAATATATATATATATATAATATTGCATTTTTTTATTATACTAAACTTAAGATTAAATTCCATGGTGTTCGTTTGATAATGTGCAATGCGATTTTGACAACAAATATGAATTTTTATTACACTTTCATATGCGCTTATATATACATACATACATATGTGGAACATATGTATATGTATATTAGGATAAACCATATTTTTGGAGTTTTTAACCGCACGAAATTTTTTGTATGAATATAGGGTTATACATAATGATTAGAATGACGAGACTATTTGATTTTAATATATCTGACTATCGTTCATTACAAATCTGACCATCTTTATACCATGTATACGTATGTATGTATATCGTTTAGTGAGTGTGACATCTCACTAATCAAAGGCACATTATTATGTTTACGGCCTTTGATGGCTAACTTTATATCACATACTCGTTTATCGGTAAGTAGACTACAATTTCAGAATGTAATTTGTGTTAGTATGAAAAAATAATATGTCAATCATAAGTTGTAGTTGTAGTATGTCAATCATAAGTTGGTGTTTGATATCAAAAAATCCTTTATTATATTCATGGGAAGAGGAATATGATTTTGTCACGGTCTAATTTGAAAATAGAGAGCTGGTTTACTTCAGAGGGCGTTTGCAAAAGAAACAAGTAGTTAAGGACTAAGTTCGGGTGTCAAGTTACAGCTTGCACGGACGGATAGACAGACATCCGGATTTCAATTCTACTCGTCACTCTGACCACTTTGGTATATGTATGTAACCATATATCTGACCGTTATTAGCAACTTTATTGCGAGAGTATAAATATGATGCCCTCTGAATTACATGGAAATATCTGAGAGATTTACCCATATTTTCGGTGAAAAATTATGTTAGATTAGGTTAGGCACTGAGTTCTTCGTGTTCGATATCAGGGACCTTGAAAAGTTATAGTCCGAACACGACAATTTTTCCACAAGGGATACCTCGGCTCGAATACCGTATTTGTGTAAAGTTTTATTCCGCTATCATCATTGGTTCCTAATGTATATACGAGTATTATACAGAGAAGGAATCAGATGGAATTCAAAATAGCGTTATATTGGAAGAAGGCGTGGTTGTGAACCGATTTCACCCATATTTCGTACATGTCATCAGGATGTTAAGAAAATA